GCAGTCAATTTTGCAATCCAAAAACCCCCAAGTTATATACTGCACAGCACTAGTATTACATTATGTTTTTAAAGTAAGATCCCAATACTAATTATGACCACTGTTTCACGAAACTGCCAAAGTTTGTGACTGTATTATAGGCCATGAGGCCGATATTACGAATAAACTTCTGTCTGTCTGTCATGTCAAGAGGACCTTGTACAATGCATGTGTGAGTGAGTGAGTAAGTTTTGTTTTAGCAATATTCCAGCTTTATGGCGGCGGTCTGTAAATAATCAAGTCTGGACCAGACATTCCAGTGATCAACAGCATGAGCATCGATCTGCGCAAATGGGAACCGATGACATGTGTCACACAAGTCAGCGAGCCTGACCACTCGATCCCGTTAGTCAGTTAGAGAACCTGCTTTTCAAATTGGTGTCATCCATGTGAAGGAGATGAGTAAGCGGTGTTGGGGATCTGTGCCAAGGAGGTCCGGGATGGTAACCCTCCTCTTTATTGAGCAAAAAGCTCAAAGGATTTAAAGACAACCAAAAAAGCAAAGGACTGAAGGAGTCCCCCTGGAAAATTACCCTTCTGATTGGAATAGATTCCGAAGTCTGCATGTACTCTTGCGAGTACATCTCTATAAATTACATTATTGGCACGAGACTTGTCAAACACCCTGTGAAGATTTTATTCAGAGTATTCAAACATGTGAGAGGGTGGAAGTTTTTTGGGATCAGTCAAGTGTCCTTTTTGGGGAAGGAGTATTGCGCGACCTTCGCAGAACCGTTGAGGAACATCACCTGTGTCCATGAGAGAATTGAAACAGTGAAGTAATGGAGACAGGGGAACAGTTTCCCTATACTGGTTTCGACTGCCATCAGGCCCTGGAGCTGTATTAGATTTGGACTTATTGATAACTCTTTTCAGGCAATTAGATGTAACAGACAAACGACACAAGGACCTAGTTTCCATTCTTGCGGAAACCTAATGGATACTGGGTAAAGTAGGTTTCAGCTAGGTTTCTGTACCCGGAAACTGACAAGTCTGTTGGTTTCAGCTTAGATGAAGTGGCAAACTTAGCTTTGTGCTGTTCCATTGGGGGACTATATTTATTTACTGTTACACTTGCAAAATAATTTCGATATACAGAATCCAGCTAGGGTCCATGCAGGGAGCAAAAGCAATAGCCCATTTATACTGTACTCTTAAAGTGTTTATGGTTATATCATGCACTCCGCCATGCCAGAGGCAGTCTGAGAGTATCTATTTATATAAAGTGCACACATTTAAAGCTGAAATTGTATGTATCAAAGTATACATTGCATGTTTGGTATGTGCTCATCAATTAAATTTGCTGTATGCAGTAAACAGGAAGTTGCCGCAACAGGACTAGCAAACAAAACAAATAACAATCTAATTCAAAAAAAGTTTTATATTAATGTAACAGCCACCAATCATGGCTTCGACAGATTCAAATCACGACAGCAGTTCATGTAAATGTAAATGTACAGTCAAACCTCATTTCAAAATAACACTTGTTAATCACTTTCCTACACTTACAATGAATCTTCGCAATCTAACATGACTTCGTAATGACTACCCGAGCATATGTTTACGACGGGTGCCACCGTTGTCATCACTAGTTGATAATGATCCATAAACATGTGCTCGTGATATGGTCAAAAATCGTACAAGCCACTATGCTGTTTGAAAAGTTTTTTATCGCAATAACAAGACCAGTCAACAAGTAACAAGTAACACGTTACAATTTCTATTCAAACAAATAGTTACTGTGAAAAGGGTACTGTAAAAAGACGTCTTACAATTACAGAATCTTGTTGACTGTGTATGTAAGGCTAACGTAATATATACCCTACACGTACCCAGAACCTAGCTATTCTATGACTTGACGACAAGTGATTCCAAATGGGTCCCCCTCCACGTTGAGAGGGCAGGGTACAGGGACGTCATTGTGTCCAGTTGGGTTATGTTGGCTCACTAAACAGTCAGACGAAGACGAGGGAGCCTTTAGGGTCCGTATATATCATGTGATTTAATTGTTAGCATAAGAGATTAGTAACCATTACATAAGTCAAGATATCACAGTGCGGATATCCTATTCAACAAAAGGTTGATCCACGAGAAGCATATAGAATGTTGATACAGTTTTCCTGTACTGAGTCACCCTAGTGTTAGGTTACCTGGCAGATCCACTTCTGTATACACGCATAATAGTTACAGTGTGTATACACAAAACATGTATATATCCCAAATATAATAAAATAGAAAATAAACACAGAAAAAATACAGCAACATAGTAACAAAATGGAAAAATAGAAATATTCGATTATGTTGTATCCCAGATGTAAAATCTGACTATAAAGCACCAAATATTGAAGACGAACAGATCAAATACGGCCTCTGAAGTTCTACAGTAGTTCTGTGTTAAGAAATACTCTGCTATCTATATAATTATGTAAAACATCGACTTGTAGATAAGACATACACAAGATCAGTTGGGTCAATTCTATACATTTAGAATCCTTTGCTTTCAATTTGAAAATTAGACATGAAACATCAAATTACATGCACAGTGAGATTTACATGTATGGTTAGAATTTGAGACGAATCAATGTTCTGATGAATGTTAGAAGCTTCTTTGAAGTAAACAATGTTAAGTATCATGTACAAAGTATTGAAAGTGAATGAAAACTATGACATCTCATGTTACTGTGCTGAAAAGATATCGATATTGCTATTGCTTCCGAAACAGTCCTGGAAATAAGTTTATTTTCATAATCTCTGTTCTGACGAAATAGTCGAAATGTGTCAATTGCGTGTGCTGTACGTGTCAACGACGAGAATGATATAAGATTACACCAGATCAACGATGAAAGACAAGTATTTCCTCAATGAATCACATAAATGATGTTAGTCACAATTAGGTTATACATTCCAACATGGAAGACCATAATGTGTGACACTGCATGACATGCTCTATGTTAGTAAAATATACAATTATTTTATTTGTATTTAAAAGATACAGACATCTGTCTTTATGTGCCTGGAACGTTCTGGAGTATTGAACTTAGAGATACTTGACTACGAAATCTGAATTGTTCAAGCGGCATTCTGTGTCTCCAGACAGGAGGAGGCATACAGAGTTGATGGACAGGCTCAGAGTGGATGTGCGTGTTCAGTGATGCTGGACCCCATCAACTGTTGGCGTAAATACTCTGTGTCTCCAGATAGGATGATGTTAGTTGTACTGATGGACATGCTCAGAGTGGATGTACGTGGTCAGTGATACTGGACCCCATCACATGTTGGCGTAAATATTCTGTGTCTCCAGATAGGATGATGTTAGTTGTACTGATGGACAGGCTCAGAGTGGATGGACGTGGCCAGTGATGCTGGACCCCATCACATGTTGGTGTAAATACTCTGTGACTCCAGATAGGATGATGTTAATTGTACTGATGGACATGGTCAGAGTGGATGTACGTGGCCAGTGATGCTGGACCCCATCAACTGTTGGCGTAAATACTCTGTGTCTCCAGATAGGATGATGTTAATTGTACTGACGGACATGTTCAGAGTGGATGTACGTGGCCAGTGATGCTGGACCCCATCACATGTTGGTGTAAATACTCTGTGACTCCAGATAGGATGATGTTAATTGTACTGATGGACATGGTCAGAGTGGATGTACGTGGCCAGTGATGCTGGACCCCATCAACTGTTGGCGTAAATACTCTGTGTCTCCAGATAGGATGATGTTAATTGTACTGACGGACATGTTCAGAGTGGATGTACGTGGCCAGTGATACTGGACCTCATCAACTGTTGGCGTAAATACTCTGTGTCTCTAGATAGGATGATGTTAATTGTACTGATGGACATGTTCAGAGTCGATGTACGTGGTCAGTGATGCTGGACCCCATCACATGTTGGTGTAAATACTCTGTGTCTCTAGATAGGATGATGTTAGTTGTACTGATGGACATGGTCAGAGTGGATGTACGTGGCCAGTGATACTGGACCCCATCAACTGTTGGCGTAAATACTCTGTGTCTCCAGATAGGATGATGTTAGTTGTACTGACGGACATGTTCAGAGTGGATGTACGTGGTCAGTGGTGCTGGACCCCATCACATGTTGGCGTAAATACTCTGTGTCTCTAGATAGGATGATGTTAGTTGTACTGATGGACATGTTCAGAGTGGATGTACGTGGTCAGTGATGCTGGACCCCATCAACTGTTGGCGTCAATATTCTGTAACTCCAGATAGGATGATGTTAGTTGTACTGATGGACATGTTCAGAGTGGATGTACGTGGTCAGTGATGCTGGACCCCATCAACTGTTGGCGTCAATATTCTGTGTCTCTAGATAGGATGATGTTAGTTGTACTGATGGACATGTTCAGAGTGGATGTACGTGGCCAGTGATGTTGGACCCCATCACATGTTGGCGTAAATACTCTGTGTCTCCAGATAGGATGATGTTAGTTGTACTTACGGACATGTTCAGAGTGGATGTACGTGGTCAGTGATGCTGGACAGGCTCAGAGTGGATGTACGTGGTCAGTGGTGCTGGACCCCATCACATGTTGGCGTAAATACTCTGTGTCTCCAGATAGGATGATGTTAATTGTACTGATGGACATGTTCAGAGTGGATGTACGTGGTCAGTGATGTTGGACCCCATCACATGTTGGCGTAAATACTCTGTGTCTCCAGATAGGATGATGTTAAATGTACTGATGGACATGTACAGAGTGGATGTACGTGGTCAGTGATGCTGGACATGTTCAGAGTGGATGTACGTGGTCAGTGATGCTGGACCCCATCAACTGTTGGCGTAAATACTCTGTGTCTCCAGATAGGATGATGTTAAATGTACTGATGGACATGTACAGAGTGGATGTACGTGGTCAGTGATGCTGGACATGTTCAGAGTGGATGTACGTGGTCAGTGATGCTGGACCCCATCAACTGTTGGCGTAAATACTCTGTGTCTCCAGATAGGATGATGTTAATTGTACTGATGGACAGGCTCAGAGTGGATGTACGTGGTCAGTGATGTTGGACCCCATCACATGTTGGCGTAAATACTCTGTGTCTCTAGATAGGATGATGTTAATTGTACTGATGGACATGTTCAGAGTGGATGTACGTGGTCAGTGGTGCTGGACCCCATCACATGTTGGTGTAAATACTCTGTGTCTCCAGATAGGATGACGCCATGTCATAACACAGCGAGACGTCAGCCTGGAAGATAAGGTCACAGTGTCATACATTGTAAACATATAGGAACATTGTTATAACACTAATATCAGCTAACTCTGTACAGCAACAGCTGATTTAACTCAATACATCACAGTAACAGTGTCAGTGATGATTACTTTGGTCGTTCTGATGTCTACCTGAGAGAGATCATTATCACACAGGTGTCCCAGCTGTCTGATGTTGTTGTAGATCTCCACCACGTTGTCGTACTTCATGCCCTGCACGATGTTGCTGAGGATACAGAACAACGTAGCTGATCGCCGTTCATGTTCACTGTTGGACAAAAATCTTCATCAGTCTCTACTCTAAAATGATTCGAACAACACAAGAAGTTCAAATTTGTTGGTTTCAATATAGAATAATACATAGAATTCTTACAACCAATACTTACTTATTTAACATCAAGTACACAGAAAGTGATGTTTGTACATTTTGCCAAACTGATAGTGAAACAATTACCCACTTGTTGTGGGATTGTAAGTTTACCCAGTTATTTTTGAATGATCTCTGCTCATGGATAATGAAATGTTCACATATATGTAACATGAACCTTGGTATAGAATTGATATTGTTTGGTGTAACGGAAAACATTGTTACAGACATAAATTTTGACTTTATTCTGTTGTTTGCCTAATTTTTCATATACAAATGTAAACATCAGAAATGCAAACCACAGTTTAAAAGATTTTCAAAGGAACATTTTGTCAGATATAACATAGAAAAAGACATATCCTTAAGCACTTGTACTGCTGATAAATTTCATCAGTCTTGGATCTTGTATCATATTATATTTTCTTCAGGAGAGCAGAATAGTAAAATATTCTATTCTTTTGTTTATTTTCATGTCTAAGACCAAAAAATATAATCTGAAGTTTATGTCAGATATTGAAAAGGCTTGTGTTTGCGTGCGCGCACGTGCGTGCGTGTGTGTGTGTGTCATTTGTACTAAAATCCCACAAGTAAAGTGTAAAGTACTGATTACATCAAATATTATGAATGTAAATGCTTTGTAATAGGGGTGAATGAATAAAATGTCTAAAACAAAACAAAAATAATTTGGTGGCACTTCCACATTTCCGTAATGTATATTTTAGATTAAGAGTTATCTTATACTGCGTGTAATTTGGCCAACTTTTGTCATAAATTTATATGCAAACATGTTCAACCTGAAAATAACTGTTAGTGGATGAGAGTTATCTTCCCCTGTGTTGAGGTCAACTTGATCCAGGAAGTAGAACAGAGAGGAATGGTCATCTTTCCGGAAGGTCTTCAAAAGATACACGTGCACCAGTTGTGAAGATTCACTGCCCTGCGAACCCAAGATTTCAGTATACATTATTTGTCATAAATAGATAAGTATTTAATGTGCGTAATATTCTATGACAAGTAATGTAGGAGCATGCAACAACGTCCCACCTCCATCTGCCTGTCGATCTTCCGGAGCACGATGTCAGAGTTGAGTGTGTTCTCTGTAGAACAAGACACGATCACCGTTCCCTGGTCCAGGCTGTGTCCTAGAGAAGGCATGTAGCCAGCCAGATCCTGAAATATCAACATTTACATCCACATCAAATCAGTTCCTTCCAGTTGCAGTCTCTAAACGCTTCTCAGAGTATTTCATCTCACCTGGTGCGAGTCTGGCAGGACAATGACAGTGGAAGACTCCTGTTCCTCTGTGAGTTTCCAGAACAGAGACGCCGTGGTGACGGAGGGGGCCTCAGTCAACAGGTAGCCATTCATGGACAGGTGGGACTGAAGGAGAACAAATGCAAGACTCGCTTCATATGAATAAAACTCGTACATATGTGACATAAAATACAAACATTATTGATTGAGGTAATAAGTGTGATGATCAGTTCTCAAGACGTGAGTACATTCGACATAGGTACCAATTGTTGAATATATCTATTGAATATCAAGATCCGGGTAAGATCTTCAGTAACCCATGCTTGTCGTAAGAGGCGACTAACGGGATCGGGTGGTCAGGCTCGCTGGATTGGTTGACATATGTCATCGGTTCCCAATTGCCCAGATCTATGTTCATGCTGTTGATCACTTGATTGCCTAATCCAGACTCGATTATTTACAAACTGTCGCCATATAACTGGAATATTGCAGAGTGTGGCGTAAAACTAAACTGACTCACTCACACGTTGTACCTGTACATGGCGCGGGGAGGAGTCGGTATACTTACTGGCATTATTACGGCTAAGATGTCTGTCCGTCCGTTCACCCATACACGGCCCTCGATGCGCCCAGCTGTCAAACACAAAGATATGATTAAACAAAGGGTCTTTTTTTCAGAATGGATATTTCCTTAAGGGGTGGCATGTATTCTAAAATCTCATCATGGGACCGAATGCCTCACTTCCCGCTCAAACGATTTTAGGTGTTTTCAGTATCATACCCTTGATTGGGGTGTCACTAAAGTTGGAAATAAGCAAAAATAACCACAGAATAACCAGCCTAAATTACAGATTCCATTGGGTGTAAAAGGCACACTATTGGTGAAGATTACAGGAACGGATCACTGAAAATCAATGATGACACCCGGTGTTCCAGCAAGGGTTCAGCATATCCTGCCCGTAGTACCCGCCTTCGAAATTATTAACATTACGACATACATCCGTTCTTGTTTTCCTCCACGAACTTTTTGATACCCATAAATGAAGCAAAGGTACCATGGTTCCTAGTATGGTGATCTACCTTCAGTTGTTGGCGATCTATAGCATTTTTTAATATTGTATCGTCCTCTATAGTTAAAGTATTTTAGATTTAATTGCTAGTTTTAAAAATATATCTGTGATAGTCTAGTTAGTTATACTGTCCCGTGTCGACAAATATTTTAAATTGATTACCTTGTTTTCATCCCTATATGGCTGTAATATTGCCGATGCGGTGTCAAATTTTAACTCACTCATAAACGAAGCGCATGACTCGGGGTGAATGCTATAACCATTTACATAATGTGACCTCCCAACCCTGATATCAGTGTTCAAACATACATTGCAAATAAATTATCAGCCCAGAGGAAATGTTCTTACCTGACTTACGTTCTTTGATGCTGACTTTAACTCTCTGAAAGACAAAAACATACAGTGTCCATATCATGTCTGAGATATATTGATGCAAAGGTGCAGCGTGCCATGAGTTACAAGATTGTGTATATTGTACAACTGCTGTTCAACTACAGTCCCCGACAGCACAACAAAATACAATGGACTTTTAGTGCTTTGTGCTTATGAAACAAGTTTGTCGCTACATTCATTGAGTTATCGCTATATATTCACCAAGTACATGTATCATAGTTACTTTATTTGGTGTATAACTGCACATTTACCAACCCTTCTTGTTGACGCCAGTGTCGTGATGTATAACTGATATCTTGTATTCCTGTCACGATATAGCTGGAATATTGCCGGTGTGACGTTAAATATTAACTCACTAACTCTGGGATTCCTAACAGAATCAGTGAAACAAGCACGCACCTGCATCATCTGAGATACTGATGTGGTCCCCATCTTGAACACCTTCTTTGTTCGTCTTTCTTGTCTAAATTCAGGTGAGGTCAAGGTCGTGTCACCCATCATCACTGCCTCGTGTAGGGTCGTGTACACGCATGCGTACTGCTCCTGTATCATAAGACAAGAGGTTTTATTGATGGACTAAAATGATGAGATATGGTCACATGCGACAGTACAACAGACATATTTTGTGACATACCTTGGTCTGAATCATATTTCTCCGCTGTTGTCTCATGAGATTTACAAATCCGAACACGTCCACCTTCTGGTCAGCCATAGTCCGGTCCAGCAGGTAGTCCACGGCGATGTACGTCCCTGTCCTACCAATACCTGCACTGTGGAGGGAAGTGTATTGTGGGATAAGGATGGGATACTGGCACTGTGGAGGAAGTGTATTGTGGGATAAGGATGGGATACTGGCACTGTGGAGGGAAGTGTATTGTGGGATAAGGATGGGATACCGGCACTGTGGAGGGAAGTGTATTGTGGGATAAGGATGGGATACCGGCATTGTGGAGGGAAGTGTATTGTGGGATAAGGATGGGATACTGGCACTGTGGAGGGAAGTGTATTGTGGGATAAGGACGGGATACTGGCATTTTGGAGGAAGTGTATTGTGGGATAAGGATGGGATACCAACATTGTGGAGGAAGTGTTTTGTGGGATAAGGATGGGATACCGGCACTGTGGAGGAAGTGTATTGTGGGATAAGGATGGGATACTAGGACTGTGGATGGAAGTGTATTGTGGGATAAGGATGGGATAACTGCATTGTGGAGGGAAGTGTATTGTGGGATAAGGATGGGATACCAGCACTGTGGAGGGAAGTGTATTGTGGGATAAGGATGGGATACTGGCACTGTGGAGGGAAGTGTATTGTGGAATAAGGATGGGATACCTGCACTGTGGAGGGAAGTGTATTGTGGGATAAGGACGGGATACCAGCATTGTGGATGGAAGTGTATTGTGGGATAAGGATGGGATACCTGCACTGTGGAGGGAAGTGTATTGTGGGATAAGGATGGGATACCAGCACTGTGGAGGGAAGTGTATTGTGGGATAAGGATGGGATACCAGCACTGTGGAGGGAAGTGTATTGTGGGATAAGGATGGGATACCAGCACTGTGGAGGGAAGTGTATTGTGGGATAAGGATGGGATACCAGCACTGTGGATGGAAGTGTATTGTGGGATAAGGATGGGATACCAGCACTGTGGAGGGAAGTGTATTGTGGGATAAGGATGGGATACCGGCATTGTGGAGGGAAGTGTATTGTGGGATAAGGATGGGATACCAGCACTGTGGAGGGAAGTGTATTGTGGGATAAGGATGGGATACCAGCACTGTGGAGGGAAGTGTATTGTGGGATAAGGATGGGATACCAGCACTGTGGAGGGAAGTGTATTGTGGGATAAGGATGGGATACTGGCACTGTGGAGGGAAGTGTATTGTGGGATAAGGATGGGATACCGGCATTGTGGAGGGAAGTGTATTGTGGGATAAGGATGGGATACTGGCACTGTGGAGGGAAGTGTATTGTGGGATAAGGATGGGATACCGGCATTGTGGAGGGAAGTGTATTGTGGGATAAGGATGGGATACTGGCACTGTGGAGGGAAGTGTATTGTGGGATAAGGATGGGATACCGGCATTGTGGAGGAAGTGTATTGTGGGATAAGGATGGGATACCGGCATTGTGGAGGGAAGTGTATTGTGGGATAAGGATGGGATACCGGCACTGTGGAGGAAGTGTATTGTGGGATAAGGATGGGATACTGGCATTGTGGAGGAAGTGTATTGTGGGATAAGGATGGGATACTGGCATGGAGGATAAGGATGGACTGGCACTGTGGAGGGAAGTGTATTGTGGGATAAGGATGGGATACCGGCATTGTGGAGGGAAGTGTATTGTGGGATAAGGATGGGATACCGGCACTGTGGAGGGAAGTGTATTGTGGGATAAGGATGGGATACACTGCATTGTGGAGGAAGTGTATTGTGGGATAAGGATGGGATACTGGCACTGTGGAGGAAGTGTATTGTGGGATAAGGATGGGATACCGGCATTGTGGAGGAAGTGTATTGTGGGATAAGGATGGGATACCGGCATTGTGGAGGAAGTGTATTTTGGGATGAGGATGGGATACCGGCATTGTGGAGGAAGTGTATTGTGGGATAAGGATGGGATACTGGCATTGTGGAGGGAAGTGTATTGTGGGATAAGGATGGGATACTGGCACTGTGGAGGAAGTGTATTGTGGGATAAGGATGGGATACCGGCATTGTGGAGGGAAGTGTATTGTGGGATAAGGATGGGATACCGGCATTGTGGAGGAAGTGTATTGTGGGATAAGGATGGGATACCGGCATTGTGGAGGAAGTGTATTGTGGGATAAGGATGGGATACCGGCATTGTGGAGGGAAGTGTATTGTGGGATAAGGATGGGATACCAGCACTGTGGAGGGAAGTGTATTGTGGGATAAGGATGGGATACCAGCACTGTGGAGGGAAGTGTATTGTGGGATAAGGATGGGATACTGGCACTGTGGAATGGAAGTGTATTGTGGGATAAGGATGGGATACGGGCACTGTGGATGGAAGTGTATTGTGGGATAAGGATGGGATACTGGCACTGAGGATGGAAGTGTATTGTGGGATAAGGATGGGATTGTGGCATGGTGTAGGTGAGTGTATTGGGGGGATAAGGATTGGATACCAGCATTCTGGAAAGAAGTGTATTGTAGCTTCAGTGCAGAGTCGAGATAAAATTCACGTACAAATCCATTTCCCGGCAAGTACACTTTCAAGACACACAGAGATTGTACTGATGAATGATTACGTTGAGATATAAACGCACATGTATACTAATGGTGTATTCCACATACCTGCAGTGCACCATCAAGGGCGTATTGTCAGGGTTTGGTGTCTTTCGTATCCTCCAAACGAACTCCATCAGTGGCGTTTCCTCTGGCGTTCCATGATCTGGCCATTTTGTGTAGTGGAAATGCTGAAACAGTCTACTCTCGCCAGTCTGTAGAAATACATGCAATTACGAGTGTTACTTTTAGCAATGTTTTTTACAAAGATTTCTCTGTATTATGTTACGATTGTGATTCTCTAACTGTTTCATCTCTACATATGTACCTCTTTCAATGTGGCTTTGAGTTCCCGGATGACCCAGTGAGCTCTGTGACTGATGTTGGTGACGGAGATGGTGAAGACGTCCACGTTCAGGTCCGACGTGTCTGACCAGTAGGGGACACACTTCACCTGGTGTCCAATTGTACATTCATAGTAGTGGTATGATAAGAAATGGAATGTCTGGCTCTACTGTAAATCTTCAGATGACAATCTGAAGCTCATGCAAAATAGAAATGCGAAGACGATGTTTTAATGACGAATACTTCACTAAACGAAGACCCAGGGACCTTTTAGTGACGGGTGATAGAGTCTCTTTTGGGTGGTATATTAAGATACCCTTGATAACAGCAGATAATTCCCACCCCTACATCTAGGACTTGTAAACCCTGCACAGTCATTACAACATCTACCTACATAGAACATGGAACATTGCGCATGGCACATGGAACTGCATCTACCTTTCCTGCCTCTGTCAGGTTCGTCAGCATCACGATTCTGGTCAAGTTCTTCTCGTAGATCATTCTCCAGAAGTCGCCTACCGTTTTCTTGTTTGGTGCTGGCGAACACAGTACGATTCTGATTGGTGACATTGGTATGTTCACTTTTCATATTGTTAAAAACAAGAGTATAGAAAAAAGTAAATTCTGTAATAGTATTTTACCAACGATTCTGAAGATAATAGCATGTAATCTGACCTTGTGCTGCAATATAAGCTTGATCCGTTGTGAAGCCCTGAAATATGAAATATTACCACTTAGGACGAAGCATATAAGCTTTGTATCTCATAGCTTGTGAAGAAACCTGAAAAAAATAAGGGAACACTTGTGCTTTCGTGTGATCCCTTATTTTTTTTTCCCTCAGTATATCTACCGGTCATAAAATCGTCCGACTGCAGGGTTCATTTTCTCTCTGCCAACCTGTTAGGATATTGTATGTTGTATAAGCCCATTAACACACTCCGTCATGGCTGTGTTTTGTCTGCTTTTGTGTGTTTCCAAAACATTCAAACAGGTAAATTAATTTGCATGCCTCTGTCAACAGTATTCCGATGTATCGTCGGGTCTAAGACTACTGTGGGAATAAAACCCAGGTGAAACCAAACTACGAAAATAAACAGGTGCTGCCTAATCCAGATACAAAATCAGGGATTTTAACATGAAGTCTTAGGACGTGGGTGTCCTGGGTGGAAGGTGCTTCAGACAGGGAATGACGGATGCTTCTGGTAACTCAGGATCTACGGGATATGCTGACTCTGTTCGAGAACACCTGCTGCCATCACTGACTTTCAGGGTCCATTCGTGTGATATCAACAGCTGTTACCCTAAACGTCAGGTGGGAGATGTTTATGAGGATAGTCAAGGCAGGGTATACTTTTGCACTGGTGTTTTAACTTTGAACAGCAAATTCACAGGGACGAGTTGATTGATAGCATGAAGTAGAGATCGGATGAAATATTCTTTTTTCAGTCAGTGCAGTTACTAAGGACCTTTCACAACATATCTAATTTATAACTAGCCATTGAGGGTATTCAGGAATCTTACATTGATGTAGCTGGCGTTGATGTAGTCGGAGGAGGGATCCCCGGGGCGTCTCTCCAGGACAACTCGGTTGTAGTCATCTGTGGGCGGAGATGAACTGGTACAGTAATGACTTTCCATGTTGTACACAGGTTGGAATAGCAGAAAATGACGTCATCATCGAACACCTGGCTGACCTTTTTTCACAGGGGTGTCAATGACCTTGTACTGAGCTGACATAAAAAATCAGGGTCATAGGTGTCCGTCGTTGGTCTAAGGGGTTAATGACCTCGTACCTCGTGGGAAAACGGATCCAGTGTAACTCATGCTGACAGGTGGGAATAAAAGAAAATGACGTCATCGAACACCTGGCTGACCTCATTTAACAGGGGTCAATGACCGCGTACCCCTAGGGAAATGGATGACACATCATAGCATCACACCATGACATCACGCCATTAATCAACTATCAATCTCACTGGACCACTGACCACAAACTAGTTTCATCCGGTTTCAGTTCTACCTATATAAACCCCCTCTGACAGTCAGTTGAGGTTATCACTTACTACATGTCTTTTTACAAAATGTTTATATATTCCATACTCAATAACCTTTTCTGTTGCCTGTGGAGAAAATCTGTTATCTCAAATCTCAAAGCGTGCGCCATTGAGGCTTGGTGAAATAAACTCGCTGCCTCCACACTTCCCTCGTCTCACTCAGCCAAGGTGCAATATGATACCTCCTCAAGTTGTATTCAAAATCGTTGGTCTAACATTATTGTCTCACGGTCCCTGGACCATATTATTTTCTCTAAAACCTAGCCCTCCCTGCAGTGCTAAGGCTCTAAATGAAGTCCCCACAGGTCTTCCGGGAATCCTTGTCAATTTAAATAAGTTTGTTTGTTACTATCAAATTTATATATTCAGAGACTAAATGTTTGTCTTGTCTAACATGTGCACACATATGTGTAAAAGAAATTATATGGGTTCAGTTCATGGGTTTTATAACACATTTGTTCAATGCAATATAGATCAGCGTTAATTGCCACATGAAAATGGTTTGAGTTTGTCTTGACCATCACCAAAAAATCCTAACTAAATAGAATTTCAAATGTATTTCAAACTTACCGCTATTCACATTCCATATTTGAATATCCAATCCATATTATCATTGTATCCTGCCTTGTAATGCAATAAATTTAGGAATCTGGGATGATATTGAGATGTTATACCCAAATCCCATATTTTTGTGATTGTATTGAATAAATCAACCACCAAAAAACATGAGACTAATATTGCACTTTCCATGTAAATATAACATATGTTATTTGTGGGATTGTGTCGTCCTGCGCTCTCTCTCTCCTACAGTGCAAGCAGAGAGACGCGATCTGGAGACCCACATTTGTGAATGTGGGACTATGCTGTAGTGGGGGATGAAGGGGCGGGGGCACTGCTGTGGCAGAGGGAGGGCGTGTCAGGTTTCTGTCGACAGTTATAGCCTGGTGAGATTTCTCACGAGTGTAAACAACCTATGTTACTATGGTGGAATTATCAGCCCATGAATTATTCCCTACTCTCAAACTAAACAGTATGATTTTGTATCGAATCAATGCATCATGATATGACAATGCTTGGTGTATTTTAAAATTAAAAACATCCATAAATAGAATGCTACATGCTTGTTAGAATCAACACTAGTTGGGGCGTGTCAGCTTTGACTGTAGAACTGTGCGTTCGCGTCATGGAGATTGTACGTGCGCTTTCCAACCTATTAGGAATGCAACTTTCATGTAATTCATCTAAAATTCCATCAGGAAAGGGATGTAATTGTATATTGTTAGCATGAAAGAGTAATCATAAATGTATGAATCACAACGCATGGGTGTATATTATTATTATATTGGTATTTATATAGCACTATAGTCCCTCCCGCATGCATGCTCAAAGCGCTGGTCAATTTTTCCTTATATGTCAATCACAGTCATATTACCATTCTTAACTCCTCGGGGAGCATCTTGCTGTCACTAGGCGCACCAAGTTAATGTGGCTTTCCCATCCTAACCAGATATACATGACAAAAAACAACATATACTGATTTCAATTTTTTTATTAGTTCCGTTTCAAACGAGTAGAACTACGCGATAGGAGCGGTCCCAGAAGTCTACTTTACATCTGTTGTGAATTGTCTTATTGCCCCTCCTCAACCTCCTGTCCTTCACTCTCTTCATCAGATGTTATGTCTTCATCTTCATCAAGCCTTCCACCCAAGACTTATATTTGTACAGATTGGAAAACACGTCATGATACTGATTATTTGTGTCTCCTACTTGTTTCAGTATTCCTTGTGTCTTTGGACCCAACTGCATATGATACAGATAAGTAATAAATCGGGCATACGTCTCTTTAAACGTGCTCCAGATGAATTTGTTAAATTTGGCTTGAATCGTGTCTTCATGTAAACCTCTTTTCATGTACAGCTGTCGTTTCTCATCCCAAAAGTAGTCTTTATTCAGCTCACGTGTACGTGAATACATTAGTCTTATACCTTGCTCTTTGAGATCAGCCATCTTTCTTTTTTCTGTTGTTTTGTGTGACATCACTTAATGATTCATCATCATCATCATCATGATCATCATTTTCCATTTTAGGACATTGTTTATCGTGTAAATGTCTTTGTAAGTTGTGGTTATTGCTAAATACTTGACCACAATAGTCACAATCTGACAGTGGACATGGTGCCTTCACAGGAGAGAAGTTGTCGTCTTCCTTCCACTTCCTTTTAACTTTGGGTATTCCTGGTGGACCCACTGAAGACTTTACGGGACACCAGTTTCTTCTGTGTTTTTTGCAAACCCTGCACGTCTTGAAACATGAGTCTACAGTCATCACAAGATGGCATGGTTGGGAGGTTTTCTTCACACGTCTGCTCACGCTGAATGTCAGACTCAGACTGAATTGTCCTAGCTTGGAGGTATCCTTTTAAACTGAATGCATTGAGACAAAGTCGTAAAGGGGAAGGTGTTTGGGGTTTTATATCAACCAAAAAGTAGTCATATGGTTTCTGGTTAGCCCTTTCAAACGGCTCCATGAAATGGTCTGTGTTACCTGGATACATTTGCCTTGCCAAAGTCATAATGGGTTGTTGATCGATAGGGTTGTTGAACAGAAGCAGATAATAGCAGTTTCTTCGTTGTGTGAGATCCTTACTGAAATACAAATTCTGGTTCAAGGCTATCACTGAGAGATTACGATGATGACTTCCTTCCGTAAACAGATCTGTAATGCGTGGATCTTTGCTCGCCGTTGACATTAAGTTGTCGAGGATAACCACATTCACCACATGGGGGTCCAGAAACGCATCCTTTTCGAGATCAGAAGGAATGCCTTGATGAAATTCCTCATGGGGATAAATATGGGTTTGAATGGTGTTATACAAGGGCTTCCACCATTTGTAGAGCCAAATAATACGTTCAGGATAAGGTTTAATGTTCATCCTATCTAGAATCTGTTTCACTAAGTAGGTTTTCCCACAGGAGGTGGGCCCTGAGACAATCATGGTGAAAGGGTGTATCAGTCTAAATCCTTCCAAAGACTGAGCAGTACTTTCTGATGAATGTGGTTGTACTGGTTGCTGCTGCTGCTTCTTTTGCATATGTTGCTGCTGCTGCTTTTGTTGTTGCTGCTGCTGCTTGATATCTCCTCCTGAATGTTTTGTTCGAATATGACGGGACAAGTCATGAGCCCAAACATATTGTTTGGAGCATACCGACAGGGATGCATAATGATGTTCACACGTCGGCAGTCCTACTACAAATGACACATTTAGCCTTTTGTCTCTATTTAAAAATCTGTTTTCATTCGCTTTGTTGACACTGCTTCCATTGTGTTTTCCCTATGGGCGACACTTTCCCTTTCTCTCAAACTAGGCTTTAGCCTGAACAACTTGTTGGGTGGGAGATTTGAGGTGCGTTCCTACTGTGCCCCTTCACTCACCTTTTGTTACGACATTCTCATTGAGGACTTGTAAACCCTGTCAGCTACATTCTCATTGCCACATTCTCATAGGACTTGTAAACCCTGTCAGCTACATTCTCATTGAGGACTTGTAAACCCTGTCAGCTACATTCTCATTGAGGACTTGTAAACCCTGTCAGCTACATTCTCATTGAGGACTTGTAAACCCTGTCAGCTACATTCTCATTGAGGACTTGTAAACCCTGTCAGCTACATTCTCATTGAGGACTTGTAAACCCTGTCAGCTACATTCTCATTGAGGACTTGTAAACCCTGTCAGCTACATTCTCATTGAGGACTTGTAAACCCTGTCAGCTACATTCTCATTGAGGACTTGTAAACCCTGTCAGCTACATTCTCATTGAGGACTTGTAAACCCTGTCAGCTACATTCTCAGAGAGGACTTGTAAACCCTGTTAGCTACATTCTCATTGAGGACTTGTAAACCCTGTCAGCTACATTCTCATTGAGGACTTGTAAACCCTGTCAGCTACATTCTCATTGAGGACTTGTAAACCCTGTCAGCTACATTCTCATTGAGGACTTGTAAACCCTGGACTTGTAAACCCTGTCAGCTACATTCTCATTGAGGACTTGTAAACCCTGTCAGCTACATTCTCATTGAGGACTTGTAAACCCTGTCAGCTACATTCTCATTGCGGACTTGTAAACCCTGTCAGCTACATTCTCATTGAGGACTTGTAAACCCTGTCAGCTACATTCTCATTGAGGGACTTGTAAACCCTGTTAGCTACATTCTCATTGAGGACTTGTCAGCTACATTCCCTTGTAAACCCTGTTAGCTACATTCTCATTGAGGACTTGTAAACCCTGTCAGCTACATTCTCATTGAGGACTTGTAAACCCTGTCAGCTACATTCTCATAGCGGACTTGTAAACCCTGTTAGCTACATTCTCATCATTGAGGACTTGTAAACCCTGTCAGCTACATTCTCATTGAGGACTTGTAAACCCTGTCAGCTACATTCTCATTGAGGACTTGTAAACCCTGTTAGCTACATTCTCATTGAGAGGACTTGTAAACCCCTGTTAGCTACATTCTCATTGAGGACTTGTAAACCCTGTTA